AAAGTCAATTGAAAATAGATCTCAGTAAAATATAAGAATAGGGATCAGAGAGGGAGGAGGAAGTTTGTGGCTGTAAAGCTGTATAGTTCTGCATACATACCTTCGGACTTACTTCTAAGGGTAGAGTTTAAAACGTTCATGGGGCTCCAAATCTGATTAAGCTTGGTGGTAAAAATGCCATCTTAATCGTTAAAGTCATCCTATTAGATGCTAAGGTGAACATATAGATAGGTTTAAGTCTTAAAGGGATAATATAAATAGGATCAAATGCCTGGTAATAATAATAGATAGAGTTTTAAAAAGGAGAGAATATCTAACATGTGAAGCACAACACACAGTGGACTAATAGGTTGACAATCACTTAAGCAAACTCTGACCTTAGAATCAGCCCGTACATCTTCCTGATCTGGCTGAAAAGCCCATGAGAGCATTTCAGGCATAGAAACGCAAGACACTGTGAGAAAAATTGTTCTACATGAAGGATCTCTGTGAGTAAGACCCCAGTAGAAAGGCATGGCCATCAAAGAAGGATGTACTTTTCTCTAAAGAGTAAGAGAACTTCCACTTTGCTTATGGCCTTGTCCAATTACTGATGGAGTTTGTGAATTCAAAAGTCTTCCATAGCCTAAGCAGTTCACGTCAGGTTCCTCGGGTGGTCACTCACATCATACATAAGAGTGGTAATTGTTTTTTGACAGGCAGAGTGGACAGTGAGAGAGAGAGACAGAGAGAAAGGTCTTCCTTTGCCGTTGGTTCGCCCTCCCGGTGGCCGCCGCGGCCGGCGCACCGCGCTGATCCGATGGCAGGAGCCAGGTGCTTCTCCTGGTCTCCCATGGGGTGCAGGGCCCAAGCACTTGGGCCATCCTCCACTGCACTCCCTGGCCACAGCAGAGAGCTGGCCTGGAAGAGGGGCAACCGGGACAGAATCCAGCGCCCCGACCGGGACTAGAACCCGGGGTGCCGGTACCGCAGGTGGAGGATTAGCCTAGTGAGCTATGGCGGCGCCAGTGGCGCCGGCCAATAATGTGCATTTTCCAGCTTAGACTTCGTGGTTGACCTTTCACTCTACTGTAGAAGAAATGGCCTGGGTATGTGAGCTAGGGGGCTGGTAAGAGCTGAAAGGGTGTGTGAGAGAGGAGGATACTCCAGCACCACTAATTCTCTCTCCAATGCTCACAACAGCCAGGGCTGGAGCCGAGAGTGCAATTCGGATCTGCCACGTGGGTGGCAAGAACCCAGTTTCTTGAGCCATCATCACTACTTTTGCAGGGTCTGCACTGGCAGGAAGCTGGAGGCAGGAGCTAGAGCTCCTTGTCAAACCTAGACACTCCAGTATGGGCCAGGGGCATCTAACACCAAACGCTCACTCCACACTAAACTCATTTTAAAACTCGAATGACGTCCAGTAAACAGAAATAGCAGTAAACAAGAATGGGCTGTGGAGCCATATTACACTTAGTTGCATGGAAAAAATTGCTGTTCTGACAATTTATATGATTATTCAGTTTTTGGAAACCATCTTTAAAAGTGAAGGGAAGAGAAATAAGGTAGCAGAAAAGCTCTTAATCACTAAAAGATTACCTCAGTTAAGATGGCACAGCAGTAATGGGACACCCAGATCCCCTGTTGCTACACCTGCGTTTGAGTCCTGGCTCTACTCCAAGTCCGGCTTCCTGATGCTGTGCCCCCTTGGAAGGCATCAGGTAGTGGCTTAAGTGGTCGGGTCCGTGCCACACACTAGACCTGGATTGAAGGGCCAGCACCATGATGCAGTGGGTTAATCCTACGCCTGCAGTGCCGGCATCCCATATGGGGGCTGGTTCTGGTCTCAGCTGCTCCTCTTCCAATCCAGCTCTCTGCTGTGGCCTGGGAAAGCAGTGGAAGATGGCCCAAGTCCTTGGGCCCCTGTACCCTCGTGGGAGGCCGGGAGGAAGTTCCTGGCTCCTGGCTTTGGATCAGCATAGCTCCGGCCATTGTGGCCACTTGGGGAGTAAACCAGTGGACAGAAGACCTTTGTCTCTCCCTCTCACTGTAACTCTACCTCTCAAGTAAATAAATAAAATCTTAAAAAAAGACCTGGATTGAGTTCCCGTCTTCTGGTGTCAGTCCAATCCCAGTTGTGGCAAGCATTTGGGGAATACAACAGCAGATGAGATCTCACCCCCCTCCCCATCCCTTTTCAAAAAATAAAATTTGAAAGATGACAAAGAGGAATTAGAGTACTTTTATGACCAACATTTTTTATGGCAAAGCCTGACCACCACTTGCTTTGGCCCCTCTGAAGCTGCATTGCTGCCAGACATGTTACTGCTGACCTACTTGATTCTCACTCCAATTCACTCCCAGAGCATTTGCCAATATAAACTTTCAGTCTCTTGTTATGTATTACCAAGAAAAGTCTTTTACCCATGTTCCGCTTTGAACAAGATAAAAACCTTTATTTACAAGTACCCTATTTCTTTAAAAACAGAAAAGAATCTGAATAAAATGATAAAATTACAGGGGAAAAAAGTCAAATTCTGATAAAACCAGGAGGCATTGGTCACACCTAGAAAGTCAGAGCCACTAAGAACACCCAGGGGAGGGTCAGGGCAGACAGTGAGGGGTAACAGCCACGGTAAACCACGGAAGCTCTGCCTGCCGGCTCTTGTCCACAGCCACCAGCTCAAGGAGTTTGACTTCTACCACCTCACACAACGGTGAGGCCTTCGTTTAGTAAATACAGTATCAGAGAAAGGGATTTCTCTCCACCCAGAAAATATCAGGACTACTTGCTCGAAGGGACTAGGAATTCTTTCAGAAGCAGTATCACATAACCGGGAAGCACTGTTGAAACCCAGGCACGTTTTCCTGTACCCCATCCCTGCAAACCAAAACCACATCCTGGGATGTGGGGGGAATGAGCAACAACAACCGTTTAGTCGTCCATAAGCCAGCCTCAAGAGCCATTTCCTTTTCGTTTTGCAACTCAAAGCCCATGTTTCCCATTGCTCATCCAAAAAATTTGAGAACCAAATAAGTTGATAAGTGGTGTTTGGAATATGGCAGTAGATAAGGCAAATGGCTACCAATTATAGCCCCAGGGACCATGAGTAATAGGAAGCCTTAAAAGCTTAAAGATCTTGGCTACAAGTGGTAAACTAGGATGACTTCCGTGATCTTTGGGCATTCAAGTTGATTAGTTTTTCCACGTGTGAGAGGAAGGCTGAGATGGTCAGCATCTATCTACTGGAGGCTATATGGTTGGTATTGAAGGAGCTCCTATGGGGAAGATTCCCCTAGGGTAAAGCTTGAAGACTTGGCACTGTTTCTTCCCACCAGGCGTTTTGTGCTTCTTGATCCTGTAGGCGTCCCAGAGACCTCAGGGTCACTGTGGGAGCTGTTTCCCTGGGGGGACTGGACTTGTTGCACTTCTCTCAGTTCCCTGCCGTGAAAGTGGGAAAGCATATGTTACTTCACATCCAACCACAGACCAAAACTAGCACATAGATGTTCTTATTTCAGTATTGTAGAAGGAAGTCTGAGCTGTATAAAATTCAGTTCTGAATGCAAGCTTCATAGAAAGGCGGGCTCACCCATGTCATGACACATGCTGGGTTCCGTTTCCAGATCTCACTGATTGCAGCATAAGTGGTCTTTAAGTGAACAACTCCTCAGGCTAACTGAGAAGCTACAGCAATCAACAAACCACAGGCTGCAGGTCAAATCTGGCCTGCCATTGGTTCTTATATATAATCAGATATATATTGTCAATGGCTGTTTTCACATTAGAACAGCACATGCACACTAAAACAGCAAACTCAACTACAAAGCTGAGTCATTACATTAGATCGTATGGCCTACAAGAACAATTTTACTAGCCAGCCCCTTCCAGAATAAGTGTCAACCCACGATTCACACAACCTCAAAGTGCCATAGGCCCAGCACTGGCACTGGCTGACAGCACCTGTGCCTCCGTAGCTGGCTTCACAGGATGTACATGCCAGACATTAAGAGGAGCTTACATTCTTTGCACACAAGTATATGTGCATACAACCATACCTTATTACATGGGAGAGTAGGACTCAAACCTGGAGCAAAAACATTGCCTCTGGCTTACTAGCAAGACCTCACTGGATGCCCAGAATCTCAGCAGCCTTATGGCCAGCCAAGCAGCTTGGGACTCTTCATGCTAACTTTTCCAAGGTGGGTTACGTACCCATAGTAAGTTGTACCTCAAAGCTTAATTTAAGCAAAGACCGTTTTTCTTTCCCTCCTTTTATTACATACTGTACATTACTGAAAATATGATCTTGTAAACTTTCCTTCAGATGCTGCTCAGACATCACTACCTGTACCTTTTCCCCAACCTCACCCCATTTAATTGATACCCAGTGGTTTAATGGAGGACTGGATTAATCAATGGAGGCATGCATAAAAACAAGCCTCCGTGAATAAGAGATTGACTTGCTTTCTTTGCTCAGAAGTTCTTTTTCTCTAACTGTGTGCCAGGACAGTATCTGTCTGCTCACCCCTGAAATGTTACAGGTTCCTAACAGGGGTCTATCCTGCTCACCCCTGAAATGTAACAGGTTTCTAACGGGGGTCTATCCACCTATCCTTTGGTTCTCCTACATTATGTTACCTGCTGTCACTCAGAATCCTAGTTTTTCTCTACCAGTTATAGTCAAAGTTCTTTGTAGTCCTCACTTTGCTTCCTGTGCGTCAGCTGGGATTCTCTCTCAAGCAGCTTAGTCACAGAGCCTCCTAGTCTCATACTTAAAGAGTCTTGTGCTGCCAGCCTCCTCATGAGCAGGGACCTATGTATTATAGAGCTGAATATGAGGGTCTTTCCAGAAGGTCTGTGGGAAATGGAATTAAAATAAGCTTGTTTTGGTGCAAAAGGATTTTGAAATCCATGCATAAAGGATCTTCAAAGAATTCATGGAGGAGGGGCTGGCACTGTGGTGTAGCAGGTAAAGTCACTGCCTGTAGCATCCCATATGGGCACTGCTTTGAGCCCCAGCTGCTCCACTTCTGATCCAGCTCCCTGATAATGCCCTGGGAAAATCAGAAGAAGATGGTGCAAGTGCTTGGGCCCCTGCACCCATGTGGGAGACCTGAAAGAAGCTCCTGGCTCCTGGCTTTGGTCTGGCCCAGCCCTGGCTTTGCAGCCATTTGGGGAGTGAACCAGCAGATGGGAAATTCTCTCCTTCTCTCCCCCAGGCCCCCACTCCTCTCTAACTCTTTCAAATAAATACAAGAATTTTTAAAAAAAAATTCATGGAGGCAAAAACATTTAGCCTAGGAATTAAGACAACCACACCCAATATCAGAATATGTAGATTCAGTAGCTGGCTCCAGCTTCCTGCTAACGCAAGACTCTGGTAGGCAGCAGTAATGGCTCGGGTGGTTGGGTTCCAGGCTCCTAGCTTCAGACTGGCCCGGTCTTAGCCACTGCCAACATTTGGGAAGTTAACCAGTGGATAGGAACTCACTCTCTCACTCTGCCTCTCAAATAAATGTTTCTTTAAAACATTTTAAGTGCATGGAATATAGGTGTCATGAAAAATCTATGCATAGATTTCAAAGTTGATCACAATAAACTTATCTTTTTAAATTTTAAAATTTAATTTATTTGAGCCGGCGCCGTGGCTCAATAGGCTAATCCTCCACCTTGCGGCGCCGGCACACCGGGTTCTAGTCCCGGTCGGGGCGCCGGATTCTGTCCCGGTTGCCCCTCTTCCAGGCCAGCTCTCTGCTATGGCCAGGGAGTACAGTGGAGGATGGCCCAGGTGCTTGGGCCCTGCACCCCATGGGAGACCAGGAAAAGCACCTGGATCCTGGCTCCTGCCATCGGATCAGCGCGGTGCGCCGGCTGCAGCGGCGGCCATTGGAGGGTGAACCAACGGCAAAGGAAGACCTTTCTCTGTCTCTCTCTCTCACTGTCCACTCTGCCTGTCAAAAAAAAAAAAAAAAAAAAAAAAAAAAAAAAAAATTTAATTTATTTGAAAAATGTACTTAAAAGGCAGAGAAGCAGACAAACACAGGGACTGCTATCACCTGCTGGCCCGCTCCTTAAATTCCCTCAGTAGCCAGGGCTGGGCCAGGCTGACAGGGAAACCCAGTCCAGCTCTCCCACAGGAGTAGCAGGGACTCAGCTACTTGGGCCATCCCTGGCTGCATCCCAGGGTGCACAGCAGCAGGAAGCTAGAATTGGGAATGCAGCCAGGACTAGAACATAAGTACTGACATGGGATACAGCCATGCAGCCATCCCAAGTGATGTCTTAACTGCTGCACCAAATGCCCACCCCTAACTTATCTTCTAATTCCACACAACTGTTGAGGTCCCCTTGCATGCAAGCTCGGGTCCCTAGAGAAGGCACAGCAGACCTGACACTGAACACCGAGACTACCTTTCCAGTGTGGCTATCTTGAACTTTTCCAAGTTCAGCTGCTTCTGGAGCTCTTCCGCTTTCCCCAGGGACGGCCGCAGAACTCGGTTTTTGACCAGAACGGCCGCAGAAGGTCTCTTTTCTGGATCAGGATGGATCATTTCCTGATGTCAGGTGGCCAAAAAGAACACAGAAGCTTCATTACTGGGAAAGCCTTCCCACTCAAGCCCATTCCAACCCAGGTTCTGTGAGTGGATTTTGTGGGAGAAATAGGCAGAGGAAACAGATGAAAATTTAGCTCCACCTTGGACAAGAGGATATTCCGTGTCTGGTAGCATCAGTTGTCTACATCTTTAACTTGTCTCTAAGTATCCTGTTTTAGAGCTGAATGGCTGTATAACTATTCTAATGCCTTAATTTTAACAGGGTAAGAAACTGAGGCCTGAGGTAGAAAGTGACTTCTCCAAGTTATTGGAAGGACCAAAACCAAACCCTACTTTTCCCAACTCTTATTTCAACCCATTTTCTGCTACCTCATGCTCCTTTTTCACACCTACCATGGCAATATTCCTAAAGCATTTACCTCATGGTATCAGATGTCTGTAACCCACGATGATTTGAATGTAGAAAATCTCACTATGTATAGCAATTAATAATGTCACATGAGAAAAATCTTTGTTTTGGTGACCAAGTTTAGAGCCAGCTCTGCCCTTTAATTTCTAAACTTTGCTGAAGTTCAGTTTCCCTTTCCTGAAATTTGGGATAATTATGTTTAGCTTCTGGGACCATGGTGAGAATTAAATGAATTAACATATGTACAGTGTTGTCTAGCACAGGGCCAGCATACAGGTACTCAGTAGGTACCAGCTCATTCTATGAGCAGCTCCACGTAGGAATAGATGAAAAATTATGAACCAAAGATGACGGTAAGGAGAGGCTTTCCTTCTTCCAGGAAAGCAAACAGAAACAGGAAGGAAAACAAGGTCATAGCTGCATTTGAAGTGTTCCGCTAAAGAGTGAAATTCAAGTCAGTAGATATTGATAAGATTTTAGGCATCCTAACCAATCCTATTCCCTAAGTTAGGAAGTAAGTCATGTTTTTACTTTCTGGGTATGATTCTCAGCTTGACAGTATTAGCTTTGATAATCTTTGTTTCCACATAATACCCTCCCATTTTGTCCCTACAGATACTCAAATATGTACAAATAGCATACATATTTCTGAATTGACATTATGCCTTTCAGAAAGAAATAATTGTTGGCATTGTCACTTACCAACAAAGAAGCTTACACTTTCCTATATACACTCAAAACTCATTCTTTTAGAAATATAGTGGCCAGTACCATTGGCAGTAGCTAGAACTCTGGAGTAGTACTTTTGATTTTGGAGTTAAGCAAATGCAAGAGTCAAGGAGCGACTAAGCCTTGATTTCCTCAACTGCAGAATGACATGCCAGCTTCCCATTTCACAGGGTAGTTAGATAGGACAAAGGAGAAAACACAGCAAGATTTTTAGTCTAACATGAAGGACTTTGTTACATTGTTTCCTTAAGTTTTTAAAAATCCATCCTGTATCTTCTGGGATTCCTAGTCATGGTCCTGCCTCTTTATTCCTTCCATTAATGATACTAGCAACATCTCCTTTTTCCTTTCTCTGACTACTTGCTGGCACAATTAAAAAAAAAAAAAAAGAGGCGTTTCCTCGTCTCCATCTCACGAGCTGTCACCTTAAGCAGATCTTGGAAGTCTTCAGAGAGTTTCTGAGGGATGTCTGGAAGGTTACCCTCGCGGATGTGATGCCACGCAGCTCCGTTGGCAGGCAGCGACTCTGCTCCTGCAGCGACTGCGATCGTTAATCCCAAGGCAAATATGTCTGCTTTGGGGAGGTTTTTATAATCCTTCAAAACAGAAGATAGGAAGGCCAGTTAGTTTTCCAAGCAGAGCGAGTCTAAACTAAAATATACCTGGTAGGAGAGGTCCACTTGAATGTTTATAAGCTCTAAGCAAATACTGCGGAGAAGGTAACATTCACTGTACTTGGTGGTTTATTTATAGAAAAGATAGAGGGAGCACAGATCTACCCAATTAACACTGACGTGCTCGGAGAGTCCAAGGCAGAATCCTAGCCCTGTCTTGCTCCGTCAGACTTGAAAAGGCTTGATGCGTAAATTGGTTGATCACAGAAAGAACAGACTCTTTTCTTTTCCTAATTATCACCTACGAGGAAGTTAATCTTTCACAGTGTGATTGAACAGACGTCCCAGGAGATGGACAGTGACTAAAGATGGGCTGGGACAGCGTGGACTTGAAGGACAGGCTTTGTTCATGTAGGCAATCCACGGGATTAGCAACTCCCAGAAAAAGTAGAAGCAGCAAAGGACTCTTAGAAAGCACTGCACAGATACTGTTTCATCCTTGACTGAGATTTCCTCTCGACTTGGGAGTCTCTCTCCTGTCTGGTCTATGTTACAAGTTGAAGTGGTGGATGTATACTTTTCATGTTTTGCACTGTGAGCCTTGGTTTTAGAGTCAAAAGTGTCAGTGGACTACAAACAAACTGTACCTCTTGTAAAATCTCATTAGCCAGGAAGCGGATATCTCCTTCTTCCACTTTCGGTTCACTTATGGATGTTACATGGCCCAGGTCACCTAACAAGAAAAAGAAAAGAGTTCTTTAAAAGCACGTCTGTCTTAGAATTGGAGTAAGTGTTGACAGTTACTGGTGGGGTATAAGGCAGACCCACCAATTTTATATATCACACTGGCAGAGAGAAACCAGTCAGCTTCATTTTCAACCTCCTCTGGGACTTCAGTGGAGTCACTTTGCGCCTTATGACAAATGAAGATGTTACCTGAAAATACAGAATAGACAAAAAGTAATGATTCCTCAGGTTTTACACCCCTAAGATTCTTTTTTCTTGTATCACTGCAGAACAGCAAGTGGTTAATATAACATCTGTTTACGCTGAACTGCAAAGGTTCCCCACCCTAACAGGCTGGTAGCAGGGCACTGTAGTCTCAAATCAGCAAATGACAAAACCATTCATTTCTGCTTACTTTGATCATTGAAATCAGAAAGTGTAGCACTAGTCATCAACACAACATTCAATCTGTTATCTATGTCGTACATGACGTATCCATTTTCTGATTTTTGCCTCACTACATAGGAAACAGTCTTTCCCTCTCTGACCTCTAGGCCCAAACAGGGACTTGTTAATAGCTGTTTGACTGGATTTCTGTAAGGGACACAAATGGAAGAAAGGGGTTCTGCCAGCAGATACTACCTGTGACAATCAACAGACCCTCAGGCACAGGTGTCGATGATGGGCAAGAACAAAATAGGGGCCGGCGTTGTGGTGTAGCAGGTTCAGCCACCACCTGTGATGCCAGTTCAAGTCCTGGTTGCTCCACTTCTGATCCATGTCCCTGCTAGTGTCCCTGGGAAAGCAGAAGATGGCCCAGGTGGTTGAACCCCTGCACCCATGTGGGTGACCCAGAAGCAGCTCTGGGATACTGGCTTCAGCCTGGCACAGCCCTGGCCATTGGAGCCGTGGAAGATCTGTGTCGTCTCTTCTTGTCTCATCTCGTCTCTAACTGTGCCTTTCAAATAAAAAATCTTTAAAAAAAAATGTGACAGGAAGAGCAGAAGGGACCACACTCACTAGGTTTGATGTCCAGGTGTACCATGCCAGAGTTATGGATGTATCTGAGTCCCATAGAAACCTGTAGAAGAATGTCTCTGAGATTTGGCTCTTGGAAATGATTACCAGACTTAGCATTTTCAGATATGGCAGACTGCAAACTCCCACCTGGGAAAAAAAAAAAAAAAGAGACCCACGAAATGAAAAAAAAAAACACATAAGTCTTACAGGTGAAAACATGACAAATATTCAAATTCCTTATTAATTGGACTGAAGTCTTGAAACTAGATTACTTCAGTGTTATTACAAAGCATGATATTATCTGCTGTCTGTATTACAAATATGAAGAATTAAAGGGCTTTTAAAAAGGAAAAGAAAATGAGTATCTCAAGTATCCAGTAAGTGGCTGTTCTACCTTGAGGATGTACCAACTAACATTTCAAGTTTTACCTAATGTTAACCAGATGGCCAATAAGCCCTATTGTATAGCTAATATTGTAATGGTGATTATTTCCATTTCCGTGTCAAGCTAGTAGTTATAGGTCGTTAGTAATTATAGTAAAATTGATTCTAAGTCTAATTCCATTAAGAACATAACATGGGGCAGGCGCCGCGGCTCAATAGGCTAATCCTCCACCTTGCGGTGCCGGCACACCGGGTTCTAGTCCCGGTCGGGGAACCGGATTCTGTCCCGGTTGCCCCTCTTCCAGGCCAGCTCTCTGCTGTGGCCCAGGAGTGCAGTGGAGGATGGCCCAAGTGCTTGGGCCCTGCACCCCATGGGAGACCAGGATAAGCACCTGGCTCCTGCCCTCAGATCAGCGCGGCGGCCATTGGAGGGTGAACCAACCTCTCCGCCTCTCCCCCCCTGCCTCTGCCTCTCTTCCCCCCTCTGCCTCTGCCTCTCTCCCCCCTCTGCCTCTGTAACGCTTTCAAATAAATAAATCTTTTAAAAAGAAAATCATTAATCAGGAAGAACAATGGATATATCTTTCTCCTAAGAGCCAATCTAACTGGAGTGAAGCTAACAGTAGGTGGAGAGGATGTATAGAAAAGGGAGCCCTTTTACACTGTTGATGGGATTGTAAATTGGTATAGTCATTGCGGAAAACATGGAGTTTCCCTTAAAAAAAAAAAAAAAAAAAACTAGAACTACTATATGCTGCAGCCAAAAATGGACATCAGGGGCCAGTGCTGTGGCCTAGTGGATAAAGCTGCTGCCTGTGGCGCTGGCATCCCAGATGGGTGCCAGTTCAAGTTCCAGCTTCTGCTCCAGTCCAGCTCTCTGATATGGCCTGGGAAAGTAGATGGCCCAAGTGCTTGGGCCTGTACACACCCTTGGGAAACCCGGAAGAAGCTCCTGGCTCCTGGTTTTAGATTGGCCCAGTTCCAGCCATTGCGGCCATTTGGGGAGTGAACCAGCAGACAGAAGATCTGTCTCTCCCTCTAATTCTACCTCTCAAATAATAAATCTTAAAAAAAAGGAAATGAAAAGTCATACTTGAAGCTATCTATATATATGCCCATGTTTTTTAACACTGTTCATGATAGCCAAAAAATGGAAACTACCCAAGTGTCCATCAGCTGATGAGTGGAGGAAAAATACTGTGGTACATTAACACAGTGGAATACTATTCAGCTGCAAATGGGGCGAGATCTTGTCTTTTTTTTCTTTTGACAGGCAGAGTTAGACAATGAGAAAGAGAAAGGTCTTCCTTCCGTTGGTTCACCCCTCAAATGGCTGCTACGGCCAGTGTACTGCGCCGATCCAAAGTCAGGAGCCAGGTGCTTCCTCCTGGTCTCCCATCCTCCACTGCCTTCCCAGGCCACAGCAGAGAGCTGGACTGGAAGAGGAGCAACCGGGACAGAACCGGCGCCCCAATCGGGACTAGAACCTGGAGTGCCGGCGCCGCAGGCGAAGGATTAGCCTAATGAGCCACAGTGCTGGCCAAGATCTTGCCATTTTTAATAAAATGAATAGAAATCCTTCTGCCAAGTGTAGATCAAGTCTTGCCTCATTTATGTAGCTTTCTTAGGCTCCTCTAATAACAACTGTTACTGAGTTTTTACTATGTATGAGATACTGACACCGTGCTGACATTTGGCCTAGACTACCCCTGAAACTATTCCCTTAGGTAAGTATGGCTGTCCCATAGCTCAGTGGAGTTAAGTGGGGTCTCAGCAGATACACAACTAGTAAGTGGCACAGCTGGGCTTTGAAGCAAGGTCTGCTGGACTTGGAGTGTAGCCCGGCTGCTTGCAGCTCGCCGCACCACCTCCTGCTCCCAGTGTCTTCTGCTTTTTATCCACTCATGCCAGCCAGCTTTGCACCACATTGTCCCTTGTGTACTTGCTGTTGCAGAACAAGTAAACGTCCCTGGACTTGTGTCCCTTCCAGAGTGTTTACCTTTCGGTCTCATACAGAGTCAAGCCTATAGATGCGCCTCAAACGCCCAAATGGATGAAGAGGTGATTTCAGTAGTTGTGGGGAGCAGCCCAGACTAGACTGAGTTACTGGAATTAAGACTTATTCTATGCATCTGCTCTCCCACAATATGGCGCTGGGAGAGGAGAAAACAGCTTCCGCACAGCTGCCTCCAGTTCAACTGATAAACTGTGGGACCTGCTCCTGATTGGAGAGCAGCGTACTCGGCGTGTGGGCAGCCGAGTTGGGATTGGCGGAGGAGGACTATAAAGGAGGAGAGAGACGGCATGCACCAGGAACATCTAAGGGGAACATCTGAGGGAACACCTGTGCAGCCCCCGAGAGAGCCGGCCGGCGGTGTGCCGCTCCCCTGCGGAAGTGGGGAATGCGGCCAGGGGGAACTGCCCTTCCACGGAGGTGAAAGGGATAGTAGCCAACCCGGGAAGAACCAGCAGCAAACCCGGGGAGGGCCGAGCAGACGAAAGAACAGCGCAGGGTCCTGTGTCGTTCCTCCGCAAAGAGGGGGAGCGACATAATGGTGCCGTGATTCGGATATGAAGCCTAGGCAGGACTTAGTGTCGTTCCTCCATGAAGAGGGGGAGCGACAAGTAGTAGCAATCACCCCATCTTATTCTTTTGGAAAATATTGAAACATTGTCCCAGATCAGGTTAAAAATCAATTCTCTTCATTAATTTTTATTTCATGCAATAGTTGTTAATAGCTAAAAGGTACGGAAATCGATCTTGCCCATAGAGAGGGGAGGGGAAAAAAGAGCAATCTCAGGTTGCAATAAGTAGGAATTACGAAGAGATTAAGAAAAGTCTCAAATTTCCAATCATCAGCATAAGTGATCCATGTTTCCTCAGAGAGACTATCATAAGCAAAAGGAATTTTTGGTATGCTTATAAGAAAAAATACTATAAAATTACAAGGCTACAAGAGAATAAGGAATAAGAAAAATTCCAGATTATGTAGAACGTATGCACTATTCTCCATGTTTCTAGCATTGTACAGTATTATTCAGTAACTTACTTCATTTGTGTAATGAACTGTAATCAGTGTCCTCACAAGCCAGGCTGGAAATTCAGATCACCTGGTGGTTACAGCAGTTGCTAAAACAAACTGCATCATGAAAGGAACCGTGTGAATGTGCCTGGGGGAGAGGGGTGTGGTGATGAAATATTACTGTGGCCAGAGTATGCGTTGCTCCTTCTAGAACAAGAGCACACTTCTACTCAGTTTGTAGCACTTTCTATTCTACTGTTGTATTGACTGTTTAACAAATTATAAATGTGATAAACCGAAGGACTGCTCTTTATGATCCAAGTAGAGAGAAAAGGGTTACCAGGTACTCGGTATGCGTGTCTCTCAAGGACAGAATATATGAAGTCTTCTCCAGCTTCCCAGCCCGTGCACCTACTCTGGTGGGAACACCAGAGCTCAAAGGTAAGAACCAGGAAGAATCCTCCTATTTAAGAGTCTATCTGAAAATTATTCAAAAGCTTTCTGTGCAAACCAAAGCATGATGAAGGCAGTTTACCTTCAATGTACCTATGTGTGTATCACTCAGAATATGCAGCAAATGGTTAAAAAAAGATTTGCCATTTAAATACTAGCATAAGAAGTTTTCTAAGTATTAAGTGTGAAAAGAGTGATATTATTCTTCAGCTTCATATATCTGAAAGAAATCTGATAAGAGTATAAGCCTGGAAATTCCTTTTCAACTCAGATTTTCTCCAGCTGTCCACTCAAGATTGTAGCACAGACTTTAAGGTATGACTCTGCTATACTTGTCATAAGATTTGGGGGAGGCAAAGCTTATCTCTGAAGACCTGGGAAGCTCATCTCCCTCTTTGTTGATAGAGGGTCACCATACTCACCATTGCAGTATTCGTTCTGAATGATCATGTGGTCATCTTCTGACCATGCAGAGTAGTAGCGCACCACATGGGGGTGATGCCCAAGCACTGCATGGGCATACACTTCCCGCAGATCCGAATTCCTAGGAGACAGAAAAGCACTGAGAAAACCAAGCAAGATAATACACATTAAATGTTTTAAAGGACTATCTGTGGGGTATTACTAACAATGGCAGAACATTCATCAAGTGCTTACTGCTTGCTTACTCTAGTCTTCATAGCTATCTATTATAAAACCATGGAAAGAATGAGGTTTGTAGAAAGTAAGTGACCAGCCCAAAGTCACACTGCTAACATTGCATCAATGACCAGAACCTTGGTTGAGCTGGTACCAAAGTGTACCATTCTTCTGACTCTAACATATGTAGAGAAGCCTTGAGTGGTCACTGCTTCAGTGGCAAGCAAGCTTTGGGTCTTAATTCACTATAAAATAATCAAAAAATCTTAATGGGCATAACAAGCATGATTGTGGACATTGTGTAACAGGGTCTGTGTCTCTTCTGTGAGGGTTATACAGTCATGAGGTTCACTATTAAACTCAAACAAAATGTAGTCACAGGAACAACATTAAGTAGAGAAATCGAGTATGGATTAGGAAAGCCCCAGAGAAAGGTAAAATATAGTACTGGATGAATTTCAGTATAAAAATGAATTCCAAAGCTATAATGTAATTTCAGATCCAACATGTTCAATATTACGTCAGTTCATAAAAAGCATTGGCTGAATCCTTACAACAAAGAACTTTTGAACATTTAATTCTGGGAATGATATAAAAACTTCCACTAATAATTGCTCTTGCCTCTGAAACTTAACTATTGAATTTATTATTTATGCAAAGTAGAGAAAGACCAGTGATTTAACAATAACTTCCAGGCCGGCGCCACGGCTCACCAGGCTAATCCTCTGAGGCGCCGGCACCCCGGGTTCTAGTCCTGGTTGGGGCGCCGGTTCTGTCCCGGCTGCTCCTCTTGAAGGCCAGCTCTCTGCTGTGACCCGGGAGGGCAGTGGAGGATGGCCCAAGTGCTTGGGCCCTGCACCCACATAGGAGACCAGGAGGAAGCACCTGGTTCCTGGCTTCGGATCGGTGCAGCACGCTGTCTGTAGTGGCCATTTGGGGGGCGAACCAACGGAAGGAAGACCTTTCTGTCTTTCTAACTCTGTCAAAATAAATAATAACTTCCCATTTGGCAATATCCCTGGTGAACTCTACAGGCACCAGAAGTTCATTCTGCAAATCTGTATTTACAAAGCAATAAAATCCAAGTGATACAGAGCAAAAGCCAAAGAAATCACCCAAAATGAAACATGATCTGAAATGCTACATTTCAGAAAATACCAACTTTGATCTGAAAAACTCAAAGGTTATGAAAGTGAAACATCATGTAGTGGGAAAGAGCAGGAAATTTTTAGAAAGAAGCAATGTCATGTTTTAATATCAGTGTCATTTTAAATATCTTGACAAGAAACATCTCTCCAAATCCAAGTCTGTATTTCTGACACATTTCAAAGGTACTCACTCATTTGAAGATGCTGCAGATGGTTTTGTAGCACGCTTTATTGCATACACACATCCATCCAGCCTCTTAATACATTTGTAGACTGTACCGAATGCCCCAACCCCAATTTTTTCTACCTCCAAGAACTCCTTTTCATAACGGGCATCCATGTTGGTTTCTCGCAGGACGCATCTCTAAAACATTTTAATAAAAAGGAAGTTTAATTCTTCCAAACGTGTTGTGAGCAATAACATGAAACAAATTACACTCCTAAATGTTTCTAAATTCAGACTTTTGAGGTAAATGCAGCGCCAACATCCATGGCAGCACCGTCTCTCTAATCGCTGACCACTGTGTGTTCTTCGTAACCTTACGCACAACTCTGTATGGCAGTTCTCACATTTTCTTTGCATCTTCCTCTGGCCATCCTATTCTTTTCCTGTGCGTTCCCACAGGGATGCCTCTCACACGCAGTTTATGCCCTCTGAAAGAATGGCAGGGAGCAGGGCGAGTCAGGTTTAAGACCAAAGACCACCTCTTCTCTGCCTGTTTGACACTTACCCGCCCATTTCAAGGTCGAGATGCTTTTCCACCTCAAGCTTAATAAACGTACTTGTTCAAGAAATAAAATCTGAGTGTGTGGAAGAGAATCGTTGAACTGGTTAACTCAGCGTGTGCTGAAGCATAGCAGCCACTCCCCATACTGGCCAACTAGCAACCTCATTCTTCTCCCCGAATGGAAATAACCCAGGCAAATCACTGACCTCCCATCAGTTTTCTCATATGTAAGATGAGAATCATTAGCAGCTACTCCTCCAGATACTTTAAAATCTTACATGAGGATAAATATGTTTGTAAAGTATATTATAATTATGCATTACACATTATATGTAATACATCTTAGTGTAATGTCCACCACGTAAGTTCTTAAATTTGACCAAAATCTATATGAATCTAAATCCATGCTGACTTATCTTCCAAACTCTTTTATTTTCCCAATGTTCTAATTAGCAAGAATTTTTCTGTAAGAGTTTAAAATCTTGACTCTAACTAGTTCTTCATTTTCAGCATCCAAATATAATCACTTCATCAGCAAGATCTGCAATTTTCATTACCCTTAGAAAATCTCTTTTCCCTCCACGTATGGACTTGCCACAGCTATTAGTCTTCTCTCAAATTCCTTTAACAGTACGAATTATTTTTGCAAAATTATACCATAGTTTCACAGACACATAATTGTTTCCCATGAAAAATTCAAACTTATAGCAACAGAACTCAAGACCTTCTACCAGTTGCATATCCACCACCTACCACCTTTATCTCTGATACCAAATAATCCAACTCCAACCACTTACCCACCTACCCCACCCTTTTCACATGCGTAAACTATTCCCTGCCTTCATAGCATTAAGTCACTTACTTCCTTTGCCTAGAACTATATTAAGATACTATCTTTTCTACCCACATCTTTCTTCTCACTAGAACCATTATGTTTTAAATATACATGTATGAGTATGTATATATACATCATGTTTGCCCAAATATACATACACATCTTTTAGCTTCATATTTATGTATAGATTATGTTGAAATTATAAAGTTCTTAATTACTTTTGTGTAATTTTTTTACCTTAAAGGGCCTAAACACAATTAATGCTTTGAACAACTGAATGTTCAATAAATATTGTTGGCATTTCTATCTAAAACCAGGAGACAACTTATAAGTTAGGAATAAAATTCAAGGGTAAAGGAGTGAAGCCATGAGTCAGAAACATTTGTGTGTGAAGGAAAACTGCCCCGCCCTGGCCTCTATCAGTGGTAATTACAGAAGCCAAATGCTGCTGGTGCTGTGGCGCAGCAGGTGAAAGCCCCGGCCTGCAGCGCCAGCATCCTCTATGGGTGCCGGTTCGAGTCCTGGCTGCTCCTCTGGTGGCCCAGCTCTCTGCTACAGTCTGGGAAAGCAGTAGAAGATGCCCAAGTCCTTGGGCCTCTGAACCCATGTGGGAGACCTGGAAGAAGCTTCTGGCTCCTGGCTTCAGATCAGCTCAGCTCTGGCCATTGTGGTCATTTGGGGAGTGAACCAGGGGATGGAAGACCTCTCTCTCTCTCTGGCTCTACCTCTTTCTGTAACTGTCTTTCAAATAAAATAAATCTTTACAAAAAAAGAAGCCAAATGCAGATATTTAAGTTTAACCAATTTTATTTATTCAAATAAAATAAAACTTGCTTCAAAAAATTTCAGAAGCTAAAAGGCAAAACAACCAAATTCCCAGCATTCAAGTTGTTGAAGAAACAGTAGTTATACTATGTTTCATGTGAAGTACATCATTGTAATCATTCAACATATTAAATTTTTAGTTTAATAAACATTGAAATGGAACATAGGCATATTTTCATTTTATTAACATTATAATGGCAATTCACTGACTTAAATTTTAAATTTACACTGACTTAAAGCCATAATGACCTTAGCTATCGCTCTATTACTAGGCATTCAACACTTCCCACCCTTTTTTTAGCGATTGCAGTTATGATGCAATGAACATCTCTAGGGGAAATATTTACAATACTGTTTTCTTAGATTATCAGGTGAAGGATACTAGATCAAAGATGGTAAATATTATAAAAGCCAATAAATATGGATATTTAAGAGCTAAAGTTTTACATATAAATACGCAGCTCTATGCAATGTTTCTCCATTTTCCATATGTGGATCATACCCTCACTTCTGTACCACACACAGTTTTTACTTAAAAGATACAAGCAGAAGCCATTAATTTAAAAATGCTTTAAGGTAATGATTCAGCAATATATATCAGACATTGCCTGGCAGAGTAAGAACTGGCTAAGAATATAGACCTTGACTAGAGTCCAGATAAGTTCATCTGCAATGCACATTTACAACGCTATAAATGCTTGGCAAGAGGAAATAAAGAGGATGGGAGAGAGGAAAACATGATTAAGTATCTGTTATGACAGCAGGGCCAAACAACAATGCTCACCTTGGCAGGTAACCCTTGCTCTAACTTGGCTTCCTCCGGACCAGCTTCCTCACTTTAAAAAAAAAAGTTATATCAATGTATGATTAGCACTTATGAACTACGAACTTGTTTCTATTCTAGGTTGTAGGGAATTCCTCCCCCCTCTTCAACTTATACTTGGGGGCAGGGATCATCAAGAATTTAATATAAGAATCTAGGGAAGGATTAGAACAAGGCATTAAGAGACACCATGGACAGCACCCCGTAAGTCAGAGAGTTAAAACCTTTCCTAGAACAGAGATTTGTAAGCGGAGATCAAGAATGAAAGGAATGGGGTTTTAGGCAAGTAGAACCCTATACACTTAGAACAGGAAGAAATAGCATAGAACATATATGCAGCTATGGAGTGGATATTTTCATCCCCAAATGAGGAAACCAAGGCACAGAGAGGTTAGATAACTTTGGGTACTGTAATTAGTACGTGGCGTAACTGGGAATTGAAACCAGTCTAACCCAGAGAATTTACCGCTAACGGCCACACTGCTCCGTCTTTCCAGCACCCTTTCCTTCCCGGGCCTTATTCACTCAGATAGTAAGTAGAACAAAATGACCTCTAACCCTAGCTAAGATATTTTCAATTGCTTTTCAAAGAGCTCAAGTCAGTGACAACCATCTTTCTTTTAAAAAGAGAATCTATTGAGTGACGGGGTGGAGGGGAGAGATGGAGGGAGGGAGGGAGAGGAACAGAAAAGGAGAGGGAGGGGGAGGGGCAGGGGAGGGGGAGTGAGGAGGAAAGGGGGTTAGAAGAGGGGGACACTTGTTACTTTAATGCTACGTTGTAATACTTCTATAAAATAAGGGATAAAAATACCTTCTCTGAAGTGTTAAACATTACTAAACTGTCACCACTTTAATTGCCAGGAATTCAAGTGAGCTGTCTTTTCTTCTTGGTAGTTTACAAAGATTCCCAAAGAGCTAAAACCAATAGAAGTTTTGGAAACCAAGTAGGCTGAATGTAGCTGTGCTGATGTTCACTTGAGATTCAGAAGATGGTGATGAGCAAACATTCTGGCCTCCAATCTCATATTAATAGAGTCACCGATTCCAAAGAAACAGCCCAGTAGGGCACATTAAGTGATCTGCAAATGTTGTGCTGGTAGCCGCGCATTTATTTTGTGAGCCAAAAGATTGCCATCTTTTAGAAGCACTTCTCTTCCATTAAAAAGTATTCAAGAAAGAAATGTCTCTGAGTAACATATACGATCTATTTGGATTTCTAACATTAAGTGGCCATTGTGAATCAGCGAAGTTTGGCTTTCCACTTTGTAGCACCTCTGAAAGCAACACTTATCTTTCTCTTCAATCTTCCATTACCTGCAGAAAAATCCAAATCCTTTCTGTGACCCTCACTATCTGTCACACAAGCTCCAGCCAAGGCCGCAATATGCTCTCCGAAGTGTAGCTATGCCTTCCCCAACAGCTAGCCTTGTATTAACCTGAAGAGACCCTTTGAATGCAATTCCATAGCCAATTCAACTTCCTCCTAATGGAAGTCAGAGATGCACCCTTTGAATGCAATTCCTTAGCCATTTCAACTTCCTAATGGAAATCCAAGATCTATTGCTTACTCTGCCCTGCTCTTTTAAAGAGAAGGTATCTACAGTGCACTTCAGAATGGGAAGATTCTAGAATCTCTGTGACAAGCAGATTAAAACCAACATTGGCATTCAGGGAGGGGGAATGTGTAAACATTATCTCAGTTCCATCCAGATAGAATTCTTGTTCCTACTTTAACACTCTTGTTACCCATCGACTAAGGAAAGTCAGTTCAAAATTGTAGTTATCTATGTACTTACAGATCTCCTCGGGTTTTTCTCTTGCCATTGTTTTTAAGGAATAACTTTCTGTAAGACTCGGGGGTGAAGGGATTAATATTGACCAGAGCCAGTGAGGTCATCTCATCCCTGAAGGAAACAGGTGTGAGCCTCTTAGAGCTTCGAGAGGAGAGCTTGCCCGTGGAGGAGATCACCGGAGGCTGGCTCTGCAGGTTCTGAGTGAAGAGGACAAGAGGGAGGCAGAACAGTCAAGAAGAGTTGCAGAGGTTAGCCAGCTAATACTTGAACCAAACAATGTTTCCCTGAAAGGGGCTCTAGAGATTATCTGGTTCCCTGCAAACTAGCTGCATTGTAACTGGTGCTGTCACAAAAGATACAGAATCCCAGTGTCTACCTCTAAATGTTCTCACTCAAGAGATCAACCCAAGAATCTCTTTTATTAATTCTCCCCTTTTCCCTGGGATTTTCAGTTAACTGGCTATGAAAAAAAGAATTTTAGTCCTCCTTCCAGTTTTCGAAGATGAGGACTTCAAAAGGACCATGCAAATACCTCGTCTCGTGCTTTCGTGGTTTATACATTAACTTCTCAATTACTCATTCCAAGTGTGTGTTTGGTGCCTACTAAGTACCATTTTTCTGGACGAGATAAGGATGGGTACAGAGATGAATTCTAGCTTTTAAGGCATACAGCATTATTAATCAGCAGTTCAGTGTTTCAGAAAGATTTCAAACTAAACATGAAAAAATAAGTGTTCAATTTCACTCCTCTCGGAGCTCTGTGAATGGAGTAAAGTGACCGAAAACCAGTACTCTAAAATAAGTCCTTTGGGGCTGGTATTGTGGTACAACTGGTCTGGGCAGGCAGATAGGATTAAATTAGATTCATGAGCTGGAAAACCATGCCCCCTGCCCCCTTTCATGATCTCATGCTCCTACCTGTATATGCCCACCTGTTGATTGCATTACATAACTGCTCCCCTTTCGGAAGCAGATAAAAGATGTGGAGGAGCGTTGTCCTGGGCTCACGGCCTTCTGGTCACCTCTTTCCTGCCCATTTGCTATGCTACCTGTGGCTACTCCTAACTACACACTTTGCTGCACATGGCTCTGGCCCGTGGATTCTCCCACGTGGCTCACAGCCTGCTCTCTGCCAGTGTGGACTCCTCAGCTCATGCTTTTAAACTCCTTTCTCACTTAAAAAAAGCCCTCACTTTCCTGTATATTTCTCACTAAATAAATGCTAAAGCCACGTCATGTTGCCTGTTTGATTCGAGCTGATATTCAGAATTATCATCTAATTAGATAGTAAGGACCCTTGAGATAAAGGGAACCCATTCAAACCAGTTAAGCTGTGGTTCCCTGCAGTCACACTTCCTTCCAGTCCAGCTCCCTGCTAATGCACCTGGGAGGGCGGTGGAAGATGGCCCAATTACCTAGCCCCTGCCTGCCACACACCTGGGAGACCCAGATGAAGTTCCAGGCTCCCGACTTCAGCCTAGCCTGGCGTGGCCCAGCCCTGGCAGCCATCTGGGCAGTGAACCAGCAGATGGAAGCGCTGTCTCTGCCCGTCTCCCTCTTCGTTTCAAATAAATAAATCTTTTTAAATGTAAAAAAATAAAATAAAACCCTTAAGATTCAGAGCCTTATGATTAGGTGCCAGTAAGCAGGAAAATATGCAGGATGAACCACTCCATGTTGGGAATCCTAAGAGGAAACAGGTCTAAACCAGACCAGAACTACACCACAGGGCAAAGAGTTGTCAGAGAGCAGAATGCCATCATGCCCTTGGGTGTAGGGGCCAGAGCAATCCTGCGTCATGGATCCAAGTGTCCAGTAGCGTACTTGGGGTCATGATGGAGCCTCAGGTTGTCATTGCACGGGGGATCTTCCACAAACTTTCTACCTTTGCAGTAGTCACTGCCCGTGACTTCTCATCGTAAAAGCAGAAACCAGACCGACTTCTCATCGTAAAAGCAGAAACCAGACCACACATGAAAGAATGAGTTACACAGAATGAATATTGGACTTAGTAATAAAGCATCGAATAAGCGGATATGGAGCAAGCTGCAGTACACACATGGCCTTTAGTTTTTTAAAGATTTATTTATTTGAAAGGAATAGTTACAGAGAGAGGAGGAGAGACAGAGAGGAGAGTTATCCCTCTGCTGGTTCATTCCCCAAATGGCTGCAACAACCAGAGCTGGGCCAGGCCAAAGCCAGGAGCTTCCTCTGGGTCTGCCACATGAATGCAGGGGCCCCAGGATGTGGGCCATCCTCTGCTTTCCCAGGCAATTAGCAGGGAGCTGGATCAGGAGTGGAGCAGCAGGGACTCAGACTGGGGCCCGTATGTTATGCTGGTGCTGCAGGCCATGGCTTAACCGGCTGCACCACAGCACCGGCCCCTTTTTCTTAAATGAGGAAAATATTACCAAATCAAGAGTTTTTTGTATGTCTTAGAGATCATAGAGTGAATAATCCTGGGGGCTGTGGCCAGACAAAGCCATCACTGGGAAACCTCATGATTTTCTTGTGAATTTAGGATGAAGATTGAGTTTTGGTTCAAAATAAGCACAACTGACTTAGCTGTTTCCTAAGACACCTGCGTGGTCTACCAGGTACACTTCATTAAACTTTGGTACTTGGCTTGCCATACTCTGTCCCACATCAGAAATCCCTACACAAAGACAAGATCCCCTGAGCAGCCGTCCCTAACGGGTTTCACAGAGCCAGCCAGGAGAGGATGAGAGTAGTGGTGGACTCAGCGGCCTTATTCTCTGGAAGCCCCACGTCTCCCCCTTTCTGTCCTTCCCCTGCCAGGTCTACCGGAGGGAGGCCAGTGTTCCGTGGACACAGAGGCTTGCCCATTCTCTTAACCTAGCCACCTCGGCCTCCCCTGCCCTGTCTCTCTCGAAGATTCTCTACCATACTCATGCAGGAGAAGTATCCTGCAAGAGACCCAAACCAATTTACTGTTGCAAACTCCACCTGGGCCCTCCTGGCACTCTTGTCTGCCTGACCTGCTCAGCATCTGTTCTGTAGCCCCTTCCTTCACTCAGATGTCGCGAAGTAGGGGGAATGTTGTGTGTGTCCAGGCAAGGCCCAACGCCTGGTCCCAGTCAGCCCTCCCTACTGAAGGATGCCACGTGCCCCATTTCCCCACTCTGCTTTGCCACCGTTTTAAGAAGCTCTAGCAAGAACTGGTCTTACGATAGTTTCCCTTAAGCTACTATTTTTACCACCAGCGCAGGCCCCTGCAGGGCCATGTTTTTTCCAGGCTAACAAGAGCAGGACCCTGGTCCCTCTTACACAAAGGGTTCCCATTTTCTTCCTCGCTAAATTATGGAAGTTTCTCTGCCCACCTATTTAAGATCCCTCTGTGTACAGTTGGCGCCAATATATGCCTCGTTAAACTCAACTAGCCAGTAGCCACTGCCTCTCCCATCAGTCCTGAGCCGAAAGCAGGAAACCGCCTGTGAACCCCTGCTGTGCGTCCTGAACCACTTTACACTGCCAGCTTGTCATTGTGACCATTGTGAGTCTCTGAAAATATTTGCAGTTATATTTATAGAGGTGATGTTTTGTCCTATAGGTTTGAAGATTTTTCCAGAGATTTCTAGGGTTTGTGTAAACAAAGAGAAAGTGTAATTATGGGTGAAAATTCTGTGTGTCCTTTTATTAAAGGATGGTTTTCTTTTTCATTTAGAGGTACTGACAATTGTTTCAGGATGTGAACTGAAGGAAACCGTAGGTAGGAAGGAAAGATGTAGAGGGAGGCATGAGCATGAGAATGTGTTTTTGGTGACAAAGGTTGAGAACAGAATTTCAGTAAGAGGAACTGAAGGAAGTACTTTGTAAAAGGCTTGTGAAAAATTAGTTGAGATGAGGTTAGAAGGAAAATTATTTTAAAGTTAGCTCCTATATCTTAGAAGTCCACATATCAGTATTACCCGATTCTTACTTCTTTGTTCCATACCGTATTTAACTGTCCTAAGTAATGGGTTCAAATGTTGATGTCACATGCTAATCCTTTCACTCAAGATTTTTCCGTGTTTGTAACCGACCCTACGTAGCAAGAATTTTATGTGTCTTGGGGAGAAAGTTTCTTATGTTTTCTGTTGCTTTCATTGAGTCTTGATTGCTTGGGAGAACTGAGTCTAAAGGAGTTAACATTATTTGCCGCTTTTAAAAATGTTTGAGTGATCAGCTCAACTCTGATTAGATCTGGCCCACAGCTTTGGTCAAGATGCCTAGATTACATAAATTACTACTTTTATTTTGACCAAAGGGTTTGAACATCTGACAATTCATTAGACTTAAGGGTCTGAAAGGAGTATTTCGACTTTGAGACTTCCACTTGGACTCCTGGAAATCTCACAGGATGGAACTGTCAACCTGGAGAGATAATTGCTGTCTGATTCCCACCTGCATGGGAGACCTGGAGGAAACTCCTGGCTTCAGATCAGCACAGCTCCAGCCATTGCAGCCCACTGGGGAGTGAACCATTGGGTAGAAGACCTCTGTCTCTCCCTGCCTCTCCTCTCTCTAACTCTTTCAAGTAAATAAATAAATCTTTAAAAAATAAAGTGAACCAGAAATTAATTTCAACTCTGCTCAGAAGACACATTGGGCAATGCGCTAGTCACCATTCTATGAGTTATAAACATGCTTAGGGGTCAGCGTTGTGTTGCAGCAGACTGAGCCAGCAACTGCATTGCCAGCATCCAACATGAGCACCGGTCTCATTCCTGGCTGCTGCACTTCTGATCCAGCTCCCTGCCAATGTACCTAGGAAAGCAGTGGAAGACGGCCCAAGTACTTGGGTCCCCACTGCCCACGTGGGAGATCTGGATGGAGTTCCAGGCTTTTGGTGTTGGCCTGGCCCAGCCCTGGCTATTAAGCCATTTAGACAGTGAACCAGCAGATGGAAGATCTCCCTCTCCTGTCTCTCCCTCTCACTCTAACTCTTGCAAATAAATGTTTTTTTTTTTTTAAATTTAAATGTTCAGGTGAAAAAAAAAGCATTCATATCAGCACAGAATTTTCAGAACTTTTAGCTTGGTAATATGAAGGCCAATAGATTCTGTGAGCTTCACCTACAATGTAGGGAAGGCTCTTAGTAACATCCACTAATGTGGATGTTCTTGCCAGAATGAAATAATTGTGTTATCCTTCTGAAATCTCGAAGAATATAGCTTAAGACAAGTCTTGGGAAATTCTTCCTGGAAACAAAGCAGGTGCAAGTGTCTGGAAAGCTGACACAGAGTGGGTCTGTAAGAGCGAGCTCTGGGCAGTTAAGGGAAATGAGAGGAACTCCCCGGCTTCTGAAGGAAGTGAGAAGGCAGCCCCCATAAAGATACAGCATCACAGGGAAGGACTTGAAGGTCCAGTTGGGTCCAGTTAGTCCCAACCCCCGAGTCCCTTCTCTAATGCTCCTTCCATGTGATCCCAACTAGTGTTCAGTGCCTTGAATCACAGGGGATTTATTGCCCCCGGAAACGTGTCATTTTCTTGCCTGTGCCCTCCTACTCAGTCACATTCTCCATCATAGCACAACAGTATGACCTGAGGTCAGGGCTTGGTACAGTGGGTCAAGCTGCCTAACTTCTTAAAAAACTGTATGAACCTTCACTGCCTGTCAATGCTTCCTTCACCTTTATTTCTTCCTTGATCACACCACTAAGAACAATCTTCCCAGAGCACTGGCCATTCTTGAAGCACTTATCACATAGCGTCTAATGGCACAGTCAGTCAAAATCTGTCTCTCTCTCAGCTAGACTGTAAGCTCTTTGAAGGCAAACACTGTTACGTTCCTTATGCACAGTGTGCTCAAAAGTACTCAAAATGATTGGTTGTTACTGGGACCATTGAGAAACCCACAGCTGGACATCCAGCCATGTTCTCGTGCCTGCAGTTCAGAAGCGCAGCTCAAGGTTTCCTGGTGGACGTGGTACACACACCCAGCAGGTACCAAAGCAACCCGCTGAGAGAGGCTGTGCTGCAGGCAGGATTACAGATGTAATTAGGATGATCTTAAGTACCTCCAGCAGAGCCAGCAGGAAGCAGAGGATTACACAGCACGAGCCTGCCCCACCCTGGCTTCAATGCCGTGAACAATGTGACCGGACCCTAGCCGCAGTAAGGATAAGAGAATACGCTCTCAGGGGACCCTTGTTCACTTGCCGTCTTCAGTTTAGAAGACTCCTCATGGGCCAGAGGAGCCTGTGCTCCACCAGACCGAGGAGGGAACAGGAGTTCCCCGAGCTGGAAGCCAGTTTCTCTTGGAACCTCCATTTTCTCATACTTAAAGTTCTAGGTTGGGCTCCGGATCTCAGTATTCCTTCTAGTTCTATCATTCTTTAACTAGGAACCTTTTCCCACCCAAGATTTATTTGCAGCCAGTACCAAGTAGTTACTGGTGCCAGCGGGTTTGAGAAGACAATGGGAAGATATCTAACTTTATATGTTTTCTGGTAACTTTAAACATCATTTTCACCAGTACCAAATAGTTACTGGTGCCAGTGGGTTTGAGAAGACAATGGGAAGATATCTAACTTTATATGTTTTCTGGTAACTTTAAACATCATTTTCACCAGTAGACACTGATGTCATTGAAGATACCCACAGCCTATGTGTAAACAACTAAGTCCTCTCTATCCGCTGAATCAAAGAGAAACAGGTCTTGGCCACCGAGTCCCGCTTCCGCACAACTTACTTTGGGAGTAGAGGGGCTGCCGCCAGACTGCATCTTGCTCCTCTTGTCCGACTGCGCGGGTGTCACAAGACATTTGGGAGGGGCCGACTTTGGAGTGCACAAAACCGGATCTGGACTTGATTTGTCCTTTTCCTGCGATGTGTCAAGTTCGCTTACGTTCCTAACGGGTGTCCTGGGAGACTCTGAGTCCCGACCCCCGCTCTTCTCTGGCGTCTGGCTCTGGGCCTCCTTGCTCTCTCCTGCTTCCTTCTGCTCCTTGTTCTCAGTCTCTTCTTCACCAAGGGAAAAGCTTAATCTCTGAACTGGCTCTTGGTCACTCCCCTTGTCATCCATCTCAGCCACAGAGCTTTACAACACAGGCAGCAGGACTGATGGAAGGAAACGCTGTGAAGCCACAGAAGGCAGGAAGGAGGCCCAAAGAATTTAACCAGCAAGTTCCGCAGCTCCAGCCTGCCTTTCTCTCTACCAGCTAACAGCTCTGAGACACGCTGTTCATTCTCTCCCTTAAGTACTAGCATCTGTAAGGCCTCACCTTATCCTATTTCCATTCTGATTAAAGACAGCTCCAGTAACTCTTTGAGCAATTAAACCCAGTTTATGTATAGAACTCTCTGGGTCCCCACAGAGCCTCCCTGCACCCATGTGCTAGTGAGATAGTGGAATTCCTTTCATTTAGCACAGCTTTAAGAACACCCATTTGCCAATTTGGGACCAAGCTCGTTGTTGGAAAGAACTCAGTCTCACTCTTTTACACCTGCCATTTATAAATAGCACCGTCCTCACCTACCTAATGGCTAACAGCAGGTACTTACAATCCAGCATCACCTGGATATCATAATGATCCTTAAACAGCCTCTAACATGTCTTGGCTGGAGCTTCATATCCCTGAGAGAGACACACCTCAGATCTTTGCCAAACGCACCTGCCCTAATTCAGGCATCCTCCTTCAACCTGGCATTAGCAGTTAAAACTTCCAGGGAATTGATCGGAATTTTAAACTGAGAAAAGAAGAGCTCAAAAGATCAATAACACATTTAAGCAGATTTTGATTACCTTAAAAAAAGCATCAAAAATGCTTTCTTTGTTAAAAATGTGTTTCTGTTTAGGTGTCTTTAATACACATCATTAATTTCTTTCTCAGAGGGACCCATGAGAAGGCTGAAAAACTCTTTGAAGAAAAAAAAAATGAACTACCAGCTGAGTCAGCAATCCCTCTTCCGGGAATATTCCCAAAGAAAATGAATCGGCACCTCGAACAGCATTGTTCACGATACCGACGTCCGGAAATGGCTCAAGGGCCCACTGATGAATGCATGGATGAAGAAAATGCGTGTTATTGATGAAAAGGAGAGGAATCTTGCCACGTGTGGCAGCCCCCGGTGAGCCGGAGGGCACTATGACAAGTGAAATAAACCAGGCAGAAAGATCCTACAGCACTCATGTGCAGCATCTAAGGAGGAACAGAGTAGAATGGTGACTGCTGGGGGCTCGGGAGAGGCTGATCAAAGAGACACTTTCACTTATAAGATGAACAAGTTCTGGGGATCTCAGTACAGCATGGCGTGCTGATCCTTACACAGCATATATGTATACCAAATACAAAAGAAGAGAGAAACAGTTGTTGGGGCTGGTGGTTACGGCGCCCACATCGGAGTGCCCTGAGATGAGTCAGGTGCACTTATGTTCCTAACGGTGTCCTGGGAGCCCCAGCCCTGCTCCCACGTCCAGCTTCCTGCTCACGGGCACCCTGAGAGGCAGCAACGATGATTCAAACGTTGGGTCCCTGCCACCTGCATGGGAGATGTGGATTGAGTTCCAAGTTCTTGAATCAAGTCTGGCCCAGCCCCCAAGCTGTTGCGGGCATTTGGGAAATGAACCAGTGGATAGGAACTCTTACTCTCTGCCCCTCAAATAAATAAATGAATAATTTATTTAACCTTGCTTCCGGTGGTTCACTCCCCAGGTGGCCGCAACAGCCGGAGCTGCACTGACCTGAAGCCAGGAGCCAGGAGCTTCTTCCAGGTCTCCCATTGGGCCATCTTCCACTGCTTTCCCAGGCCATAGCAGAGAGCTGGATCAGAAGTGGAGCAGCCGGGACTAGAACCGGCGCCCATAAGGGATGCCAGCACTTCAGATGGAGGATTAACCTACTGCGCCACGGCGCCGGCCCCTAAATAATTTAAAAAAAGCAAAAAACCCCAGTGATACCACATTGTAGGAGATAATCATGTGACAGGAAGTTCAGGAGAAAGGAGAATGAAAACACACAAGCCCCTCAGCACGGTTAAGAAGGCTCTGGAGGGACCCAATAGGAGAATCCATTATGGGATAAACGTGGCCCCAGGACAGGCACTGAGCAGCCCAGCAGCTGGATGAGTTCAAACAGACTTTGTTTCTATTAGTCGCCGTCGCCGTGTTGTCACCCACTCCCGTTTCTCTCCCTTCACGGATCCCTGTGCCACTTTCTGATCTCACGGCTGCCCACTCCAGAACCGCTGGTGAGGTGATCCAGATGAAAACCGAGCAGGAGCCGTGGCAGCGTCCGTTCAGCTGAAAGTCGGCTTGTGGCTGGGAGCTCACGGAATCCTCCCGAAGCCCTTCCTGCCTGTCCCAGCCACACGAGCCGTCTCGGGGACCTCCCAGCAGGTGACATGCTGTTCACAGCGTGCACCAGCTCTCTGCTCGCCTGTGTCGGAGATCGGCACGGAGCAGGGAGGAGTCCACAGGTGACCAGCAATGCCGCGTCTCCACGCTGGGCTGTTTACACATCGGCAGGCCAGGTGCGATGACTCCTTTCCTGCACCGTGGTGCTGACCGGTGACTTGTCACTCCTGTCTCTCCAGGGCAGCCAGAGGCTGGCTTTCTTCAGCACACACGACCTGCTGCAAAGCACTGCGTGTGCCACGGTCCTGCAGGCGGGCTCACCGGGCCTTCCTCAGGCAGAGCATGGTGATTTTTCATTATTATTATTATTATTATTCTGCTGTCACCCCGTCTTTCCTCTAGCCCTTGCTGTACTTCTCAGTTGCCCTTATTTATGACTACATTGGCCACCGTGCCATTGGGATGGGTTAAATCCCATGCGATCAGCAGTACTTCTGTTAGAAACTCGCACTATTCACTTTTCCATGCACTGTCACTCAAAAGGTAATGGTTGTGGCGAAGTTTTTAGAATAAGAAAGGTTTAACAACCAGCGCAAAAGAGATATCCTCAGCCTGGAAAACTGACGAACACGTGGCAGTCGCTGACCCAGAAGGATTTCTGAAGGTGGACATCACGCCTGTTTTGGTTCTCATGCTTTATTCTCTTCTGCATTCTTAGCGTCTGCATCCTGAAAAACCCCATCTCTTGTCTCGGGCATGCTAATCCCACAGACACCCTTCCCGGACACGAGGCTTCAGGTCAGAGTCAAGAGGAAGCCTCCGCAGTGCAACTATGTAACCTGTGGCATAGGAACAGGAAAAGGTTTCTCCCTTAATGCCTGACACATAATCCATGTTCAATAAATCATTTCTGGGTAGATTTGAGAAGATGAGTGTATCTCAGTTTTGTTTGCAATTCCTTTTTGTAAAAGTTTGAGTATTTACTTTAGTTATTAACTTAGTCGAAAGGCAGAGTGACAGAGAGAGAAGGGGAAGCACAAAGAGAGAGAGAGTGAGATCTTCCTTCCACTGGTTCATTGCCCAAACACCTGCAACAGCCAGGCTGGGCCAGGCCAAAGCCAGGACTCAGGAACTCCATCCAGGTCTCCCACAACAGGCGACAAGGATCCAAGTATTTGGACCATCACCTGCTGGTTTCCCAGGCTCATTCGCAGGAAACTAGACCAGAAGCAGAGCAGCCAGCACTTGAACTGGCGCTGTGATAGGCGATGCCAGCGTCACCAGCTGAGGCTTGACCTGCTCCATCACGAGGCTGGCGTATTGTAGTAGGAGTTGCTGCACGGAGGAACACAAAACTCCCTACGGTAAGCTATGCAGGACGGAATCCAATCTTGCATCTCAGGGCTGAGCTCCGTAAACCACCTGCTCGGGGGAGGCGCTTGTCGTACAGCTGCTGAGCCTTGAGGGAGCTCTTAGACTTCGCTGGGACCAGCCTTGGCTCTGTGGACTTTGATGGAAAGAGCAGAAACAGGAAAATCTGTTAAAATGATTTTGCCAGAGGTAGACATTTGTATTCGCCTTTGGAGCAGGCTGTTCCTTTGCTGAAGTACACAGCTGAGGCCGTGGAAGATGAGAGATTTGTTTCAGAGTCTTGTTTCCAAGGAAGAAAAGAAAAAGGAGAAAAGGCCGAACAACGACCTTGAACAGTTGAAATGAAGATCTATTGGCCAGCCCCGCGGCTCACTAGGCTAATCCTCCGCCTGTGGTGCCGGCACCCAGGGTTCTAGTCCCAGTCGGGGCGCCAGATTCTGTCCCGGTTGCTCCTCTTCCAGTCCAGCTCTCTGCTGTGGCCCGGGAAGGCAGTGGAGGATGGCCCAACTGCTTGGGCCCTGCACCCGCATGGGAGACCAGGACGAAGCACCTGGCTCCAGGCTTTGGATCGGCGCAGTGCCGGCCGTAGCAGCCAGCTGGGGGGTGAACCAACAGAAGGAAGATCTTTCTCTCTGTCTCTCTCTCTCACTAACTCTGCCTGTCAAAGTAAAAGAAAAAGAAATGAAGATCTATAACATTGTATATTTAAGCTGAGTTAAGCCTCTGGAAAACCAGTGATCTTGGGCTATCATATATTTAAGGGGCTTGGCCCTTTAGAAACCATTGAGAAGTCTGCTTCCCCAAACTGAAGTGGACACTTTGTCCATCTTCCTGGGAAGCTGGCAGATTCCAGACTCTCTGGACCTCCAGCCTACTGGGCATGGACTCTGAAGAAGAGAAACCAACCTGAGAGAACCCCAGGCTAGTGGATGAGAAGAGTGACCTTTCTCACCAGTATGTGCCCTGTAGAAGCAATAAAGCATCAAGCAAAGGTCTGAGACATGGGCCTCCAACTACGGATGAGCTGTCCTCCTGCAGCTCACTGGTGAGTCGTAAGCAGCAGTGTCTTCAAGGTCTGCTGGCCCGAACACTGAATGCTTCCTGGTTTTGTTCTGTTCAGTATCTTACCACAGCCGGAAGGGTTGCTTCAGCTCCACAGGGGGAAGTTTGCAGTGACTCGAGGAAAAACAGAACAATTTCATTACGAACATATGTTGACCAGCTCCCTGGGCAGACCAGTCAGCAGGGGTGGCACGGAGCAGGTGCAGAGTAGGGCAGCTGCGCTGGACTTGGCTCCATTGAAGCTGGGCGTCTCGGGGGCTCCTGGCTTGCACAGCTCTCCTCGCAAGACAAGGGCAGTGAGCCAAGCAGGAGCCTACTCCTCATCTACTCCCCTCCTGCAGAGAGAGTGTTCAGAAGCAGACACACTGAATCTGAAGGTTACCATGTAAATCACTAACAACTCCTGGTATT